CCAACACCATTACGCCACCACCAACATTACAATAACCACCACCACCACCCCCACAACCACCAACAACAACAACTACTACTACACCACCACCACTACCACCACCACCACCACCAACAACAGCAACATCAACAACAACTACAATTATTACATTGCTTTGCTTTCCACATTGGTGTTTGCCTACATATTTCAGAAAATAAGTGTACGAAGAAAGCATCACCGTGTAGAATCTATTTACTTTCCAAACTTATATCCTCCCTCCCCCCACGCCTCCCCCTCTTCACACACACACACACACACACACACACACACACACACACACACATATACACACACACACACAAACCCAAGTCCCAACCACCATCACCGCCTCCATCTCACCTTTCAGAGACCTCATGAGACCAAGCAGAAGCCACAGGTACGACAGGCAGAGGCGAGGAACCGGGACAGGCAGAAGCAGATGAAGGACGGTGCAGAGTTTGTGGAATATGTGAGTCATTGGTCATTGTATACTTTTAACGCCCCGAGCGTGATGAACTTTTGAGAAATTCAGACTGTTTTGTGTTTGCAAATGCTCCAAGTTGAATTTCATGTACAAAAGTAAGATGACAAGAGCAGCTGTTGTGATGGGGAGATCATGCAGTGTATGAAAAATTAGGGGAAGTAGGGAACGTGTTTTTAGACTGACACAAAAGACAGAGAGAGCTCCTGAACCGGACGACAGACAGAAGGACGTTTAGAAAGATCTCGACATCCTCTGCCCTGAGATGACGCAAGTCGAGGGAAGAGGGGAAGTGAGCTAGATTGACTCTCCAAGGACTGTGTAGAGTGTGTTATCTAAACAAAATACGTCTTTATTAACTCTTTTATTATCACAAACACACAGGCGGGTGTTTGGAGGGCATCACTGGTAGGTCCTACTTCTTTTCTTTCTCTCTCTTGTTTCTGTCTATCATTGTCTTTTTTTCCCTGCTCTAAATGATCTTTATTGTGTATTGTGTTTCTCTTGACAATGAGAGGGATAATCTTCTTTCATTTCTCAGGGAGAAATTTGTCTTTTCTCAAACTCACACACACACACACACACACACACACACGTACACTCTGTGATGTTCCCCTCACCTCGCGTGTATCCCCAGCAAAACCCGGCCGAGCTGCGGCAGAAAGTGGACTCTCTCAGCGAGGAGGCGCGGCGGAGGAAGGAGGAGGAGGTGGCCTACCATCAACAGCAGCTGCAATACCATCGCGAGCAGCAGCAGATGGAGCAGCGCAGGCAGTCACAGCGACAGCAACAGCACCAACAGCAACTACAGCAACAGCAGTACCAGCGGCAACAGCAGCAGCAGCAACAACAACAACAACAACAGCAGCAGCAACAACAGCGGGCGCTCCCGCCTCAGCAGGTGAGCCTGTTTGTCTTTTTCTTCTTCTTTTTCTGGATCGCACCACACTTGAAGTCTGGTATCTGTCATATCTGTTGGCCCCATATATTGCGACCTCTGTGCTTTCTTGTCCTATCTCCTTTTTTTATAAACTGTGAAAACGTGACCTCTTCCTAAGCTCACTCTTTGTTATGAACTGTTTTCACTGTTATTAAAAATGGAGATATGACAAGAAAGCACTGAGGTCGCAATATACTGGGCCGTTCTGCTCAGTTCTTCTGTTGGCCCGTACAGCTTCTCCTGTAGTGTCAGTGGGTGTGGCCACGTTTCCTGTCTCCTGTTTGTCTTTATCTTGCATTCTCTTTTGTATCTGTGTTTTTAACCACCAATAAGTCAAAATTTGTCATCTCGGGATATACAGCGAGGGTTAATTGAACCCATCCGTTGAACCTATGGATATATAATCCCATTGAACCTAATGATATGTAATCCCGTTGAACCCATGGATATGTCATCCCGTTGAACCCATGGATATGTAATCCGGTTGTTCCGTCCCCCAGCAGATGTACGTGGACCAACAGATCCCCAACTACGACCAGTCACATCCGGCCGCCTACACGCAGGGCCCCAACGGCGAGATGGACGGTGTCAGCGGCCAGATGGACTACGACTACAACCACCATCCGCCACCGCCACCTCCCTTCGCAGGACAACAGGTAGGTTCCTTTTTGCTGATTGTAAAGCCATGGGATATATACGGTCGCTTTTAAGCACAAGGGGGCTATCCCGAAAAATGCTGTTTTGAGAAAATCGAAGGTAAAGTTTTTGCCCCTGTTTCAGTTTCTTTAAAAGATCAGGAGAGTTTTCTCTATAACCAAATAAATATACACACTAATGAAACCAAACTTCTCTTATAGGTAGGGCAATTTTGGTGTCGGTCAAGATTTCTGGAAACCCCCGAAATCTGGGTTAGCCCACTTGTCCTTAAAAGCGACCATATATCTTTGTGAGAAAAGGTATTTTTTTAAACAAGAAAAAGCAAAGATATTGGTTCTTTGTTTTTGTTGATCATAAAGCTATGCGATATGTCTTTGTGGGAAAGTTTTGAAAACAACAGGAAAAAGCACCCCAAAAAATGTGTTCGTCATGGGGAAATTTGTTGACAGTAATGTGAAGTTCACAAGTTATTGCAGGGTTTTTTATTGACCATAAAGCTACAGGGCGAGAAAATGGCTGCCAAAGTTTTGCTATTTCCTTAGCTTAAGAGTTCGTGGAAAGTGAAAATTTACATCTTTTATGCCTTCATTCGTTTTTCAGTAAAATCCACCAAAAAATGTGTTCTTTAATGGGCATGAAAACAAAATTTCTATAAAAATTCCCAGACCTGCAGAAAAATGCCAATTTCTTCACTTTCATTATCACTTTCATTATTTAATGAGCGCCTGATTTCACCACGCTGCCTCGCATATAAACAGTTTGAAGTGACCGCATATGTTATTTGTCCCCCCCTTCCCCCCAGCAGAGAGTGTCAGCCTCCCCAGAGAAGATTCCCAATGGCGCTGTGGCTCACAGGAAGACGATGGTCAGCCCACAAAACCGGCCGTCAGCACCGCCCCCTGCCCCCCCACCCCCAACTTCGCCCCCTGGCACGCGAGACAGTCTCCCGCCACCCCCGTCACCCCCTCCACTGGATGTAAATGTGAACGCAGCAGCCCAGGCTCAGCTAGACCGGCGCCAGGCTAGCGCCTCTCCGCAGGCCAGCCGTGTCATGAGGACAGACTCACACCGGAGCTCCCCGATACGCCAGGGCTCCATGGGAACCAGGTGCGGAGCTCTCCTCTCTCTGTCTCTTTGTCGGATTTGAGCTATAGCCTCTCTGTCTCTAAGTGTGTTTAGGCCATTCCGAAAAGGGGGATATTAACATGTTCTTATGCACAGTAGAATTGTAAATGGGCTGATTTATCAATGTCATGCTCATACTGTGCAGGAACAACAGTGGGAACTGCTGCTTTTTCTTTCCGCATCCTTGCTATCATCATTTTCCTCTACTTCTTTTGTATGTTAGTCACCCTCTTGTGAACTGCTATTCCCGGGGTGCCTTGATGGTCGAAGAAGACTTTATGCTGTTGAAGCAAGAGAGGTGAAGAGAGTAAGCCTGATTCCCTGTAAGGACTTCTCTGTCGACATCTACCCCTTGGCGCTCATATGACATTATGCAGTTGCGAGCGCTGTAAAACCTTATTAAAACTAAAAACACTTTTGTACTATCTCTAATCTTCGTCACTTATTACGACCTGATTGTGTTGCCAGTGCTGTAAAACTCTTACTAAAAAAAAATCTAACTTCTGTCCCCCCCCCTCAGAGCGGATGCAGATCTTCCACCCCCGCCCCCATCCCCTCCCCTGGAGGGGGGACCGGCAGGTTTCGCTGCGGCCAACACTGCAGCAGGCTCTGTGGCCCTGCCCCCGCCACCCTCCCCTCCCCCCGTGGAGAACAGCTATCAACACACCCGCCCCCTCCTCCTCCTCGCCGCTCCCCCGCGCGGCCTGCCTCCCTTCCAGCTGGACAACGGGGACAGTGTGTCCATCTCCTCCGCCTCTACCTCCACGGGGCTGCCCTCAGGAACCGAACCCCAGCGGCCCGCGGCGGAGGCCAACCGCAGCGACCTCATGGCTGAGATCCGGATGGTGGATAGTGAGTCAACATTTTTTGTTGTTTTTTTTGGTGTTTCCAGTGTTTTTAACAGGTTTTTTAGAACATTTTGACAAGACCTTTATGGCTTTGATTTGCTAATTATTTTATTTTGGAGACTTCAGTTGTTTGGGGGTTTTTTTTTAGTTCCCTCTCCTTCTTTCCCATAAAACATATGTCCTGTAAAACATATTTATTGTCCTTATCTCTCCTCCATCTTTTGTTTGTATGTTACACTCTTGTAACACCTCAAACCCTTAGCGCTTAGGTGACCTGATTGTGTTGCAAATGCTATAAAACACAAACTAATACTTTTTAAGAAACTAAATCCAACAAAATAAAATAAAAGCCTAAACAAACAACCTCCCTTTTAAAAAATACCACCCCAAAAAAACCCCCACCCAACCCTGACTACTTCCTGTAAGACTCCACCATACATCATTTTGAAAAGTGAAGTATAACAGTCTTACACCAAGCAGTCAGCTTTCATTTTATTTTTGATTAATTAATTAATTTTATAATGATATTTTACATCCTGGGGAAGTGCCACTGACTGTAGTGTCTTTAGGCCATTCCCAAAGGGGGGACATTTCTCGTTCAAGCACAGTAGAATTGTAAATGGGCTGACTCATGTCACGCTCATAACTGTGCCTGATCTACAACAGGGAACTGCTGCTTTTTCTTTCCTGATCCTTACTATTGTCATTTTCCTCTACTTCTTTCGTATGTTTGTCACTCTCTTGTGACCTGCTATTTCCGGGGTGCTTTAATAGTCGAAGCAGACCTTGTGCTGTTGAAGCTAGAGAGGTGAGCAGTCTAAGTCTGATTCCCTGTAAAGACTTCTCTGTGGTCACCCACCCCTTGGCGCTCATATGACCTTATACAGTTGCGAGCGCCGTAAAACCCTGGTTGGCGGGTGCTCTGGTGTGGTTTGCTCCTTCTTTCCTATCAAACATCTATCGACCTTATCTCCCCTTCTTCTTTTTTATGTTTGTTACTCTCTTGTAAAACACCTCTATTCTTCTGGCGCTCATATGACCTTAATGCAGTTGCGAGCGCCGTAAAACTAAAACTAACTAAAACCCTCTACTATAAAAAAAATGATAATATTTTTCTTTCGTGCCACAGAGAAGAAACAGCTGCGCCAGCGCGAGGTCAAAGAGCAGCAGCGTAAACAGGCGGCTCCCTCCGTGCCGGGCGCCCTGGACGTGCAGGCTCTCATGGACAAGGCCATCGAGATGCGCCGCAAGGTCATCGAGATCAGCGACAGTGGCGGGGAGGAGAGCGACGACGACGACTGGGATAACTCGGACTGAGCCGGAACGTCGACGCACCAGTTTCCTCCCCCCCTCCCTGGCTATATTTCTGTGTGTCATGTTCTTCTGGGATGGAGTTCGGGGGATTTTTTTTTTTTTTTTTTCGGTGGGAGGGGGAAGTGCTTCTTTCTTTTTTTTCTTCTTTTTTTCAGAGGGGTGTGGAGTAGACTTCATGCTAAGGGTTTGGGGAACTTTTTTTCCCACCTATATTAAACTTGTGTGTTTCTAACAAGGATATCTGGGAGTGAGGGTAGTACTAGTGAAGTTTTCTCTTAGGGTTTATATGTGGGGTTTTGTTCTTTATCGTGTGTTTTACCTTGGAGATTTCTAGAACAAAACAGATATTCTCTCTTAAGAGAAAAGTGGCAGAGAAGTGTGGTGTTTCATATTCTGACAGAGGCACGGTTTGTGTACTGTCAAGTTGGAAAAGTTCCTCCAGTGCCGCGTTGTAAGAGGCACTGTGTGGTCTAGTGTCCAAAGTGTGGCGGGATGTGAGGTGCGGTGTGGAATCTGATTGGAAAACTTGGCTCTGCAGACCTGTCAAGTACTCCCATAAAATCGGAGCCATCCAATTAAAAAAAAATTTAGCACATATATATATGGAAATAAGAAGCCCGATTGGATTTACATTAAACCCAATTTTTCCTTGAATTTCATTTCCACTGGTCGTATGCAACTTATCGTAAATTAATTGAAAATGCACAGGTTTATTTGCAACAACTCATCGTAAATAACGTGATAATACAGATCTCTATTCGCTTTTTTGAGGGTATATTTGTAACATACAGTGTAACACGGATAGGTTGAACATAGAAGATTTGAAATTGCGCATCTGTCGAACTGTGCCTGCGGTCGTAATTATTTTTTTTCCTTCTTTATCTTTGTAAGATATTCCTTCGAACTACGGATCCCTCGAACTACTGAGGCCAGTCCAGACGTATTCGAACTATACGTGTTATACTTTTAGATATAATTGCTATGATCGGTTTCTAACGTAATCTGAACCATGCTACGATTTTGGAGACTCCTGATTTTCTGGGGAGGTTTCTAAGAAAACTCCCTATTTGTGGCTCTGGAGTGAGTGGTTGGCAGGTCTGCAGTGTGAAATCTGACGACGGGGAAACTTGGGGTCTGCAAGCAATTTTGTTTATGTTGGTCAAACAATGGACAACTGGAAATTCGTAATAATAGCTCATCCATCAATTCTTCATGCACTGCGTTAAATAATCCCATCATTTTCTCTATTCACTGCGTAAAATAATCCTATTGCTTTTTTCCATTCACTGCGTAAAATAATCCATCGCTTATCCCCATACACTTCGTAAAATAATCCACCTCTTCACTGTGCATTGTGGGAAATAATACCGTCATTCTCTGTACACAAAGTTTTCATCGTCGGAGTTTCTAAGATCTGCTGCTTTTCCGTTTATCCGGGTTTTTTTTACACCCTGATATAAATCTGGAGAGTTACAGAGTGTACAGATTTTGCTTTTTTGCTCTTCATTTTGCTTCACTCTCTCTCCTCTCATAAATTGCAAGAGAGTGCTGCAGTAGTGCGGAAGACGTAGAAGAGTTCATAGTAAGCGCGATGGTTAAGTTATTGATTGAAAAGGGCTAAATGGTTCAGTCAACAGCTGCTCGTATTTCATTTCATATGCTCAAACACACACACTTTTGTTCCAAAGATTTTCTATTCATGCATTCAACCGGGGGGGGGGTATTGTTTCACACTATGAATTAGAAAGGGTAAATAAAAGAGAAATAAAAATTATTTAAAAATTATTGTATATTTTGTTATTTCAGAGAGTGAATTAGAAAGGGTAAAAGAGAAAAAAAATGAGTTAACGAATTATTGTATATTTTATTAGTTCAGGGAGCTGTGACGGAAACAACTGTGGGAGAAAGCTGCGAGGATTCTTCTTTTTCTTTTCCTCCTCTTCCTTTTTTTTTTTTAAGTGTGTGTGATATGTTTCAGTTTTTGTGTGTGCTTTTTAGGTCTCTGTAGGCTGTCGCTTGAAAAGAGTGGACATTTGCTGTGAAACTGCTTCGCCTTGGTGTGGAGGGTTGCATGCTTCTCTGTATGTCTTATTGTGTGTGTGTGTGTGTGTGTGTGTTTGTTATGTTGATGCGTGATATCCGCTCAAAACAAATGTAGTCGTTTGCTGATCGGGGTTGGGGGAGGAGGGATTGGGAGTAGTACCGTAGGGATTGTGTGATGTCATGGAATTTTCCGTTGGCTGCCTCCGTATTGAGTCTTTGCTGTGGTGTTTGTGGTTGTGCAAAACATGTGGTTGGTGGGTGATTGGCGGTCGCTCCTTCTGGGGTATGCTGCTCTCCAGTAACACCTCTAACCTTCGGCACTTAAATGACTTATTTGCATTGCAAGTGCTGTAAAACTTTTATTAAAGCTAAACAAAACCTGTTGGAGGTGGGAAAGGAAGGAATTGCTTCAAATGCCTTTGGCAGTATTCTTGTCACTATTGCTTATTCTTCCTGCTTATACTCGTGGGAAACTGTGGATTATGCTAATCTTCGGCATTTATCTTATTTACATATATATCTTATATATAATCTGACCTATTTGTGTTACAAGTGCTGTAAAACTCTTACTTAAACGAATAATATAACGGTAGGAACAGACGGGTTCTTGTGTCAATATTTTCAGATTAGTCTATGGTCGTTGGATCATTTGTACCCTATTTTAAGAAAAAAGATGTAGCGGCATCTTCCTGGCTGTCTGTATCAGGGTTCATAAGTGGATG